AGATTACCATTCTATCACAGTAATTTTTATTATATTTTTCTCTCAGTGTTCAAACGAATGTTTTTTTCATCTTGAAACAACTTATAAAAAAATAATGTACATTTAAAATATAATCAAAGCTTATGCTACTTCTCTAGAAAAGGATTTATGACGTACTTTGCGAAAAGCCACAAGTGAGTGATACAAATTTTTATTCTACGGAACATTAAATATATTTTTTTTTAATTCTCATAGAAAATAAAGTACGTAAGGTGACAGGATGAGAAGCTTTTTTTAAAATACTAATATTTTTTCTTTGAAAATTAAGTATTTTTTGGTTCGAAATAGTTTCAGCTTTATATAATTTATTGTTACTAAACAGACAGTTGAACTTCTACCCTTAAAAGATGTAATGCCTGTATTATGTTATAAAAATGTTTGATGTTATGCATTGTATAATACTCTTTCTGACAATACTTAAAATTATACCTTGGTTTTATTTCTGTTCAAATACAATTTTTCAGGATATCATGATTTTTCTAGCAAAACTCAGTGTTTTTTAAGTTTTTCATTTGGTATTTAAAGATCTTTATATTTTCTGCAATAATTTTTCTTTACCTAGTTATCATACGTTTCAAGCTATTGAGTCTCTTAAGATCACAAGATTGAAAAAAAATTTTTTCTTATCTCATGTGCTTTGTTAGCCTTTTAAATGTTAAGGCAGTAACTCTCGATACTCCTATTGTATTTCCCATTTTGATAAAATTTTGCTCACCCACTGACATTACTCTGAAAATGACTCGGTTTCAATTTGGTAAACCAACACAGCATGAAAGAAAATTTGTGAATGACATGCTTAACGAGAATATTTATGGGAAATTGCAGTATAGTTTAATTTTCAAACAAACTATATGGTTCATATTTGAATGAAAATCGGCATATCAAAAACTAGAAACATGTGTAATTAAGGTGTACTTTACTTACTTCAAAATTTATTGGAGGCTGTAAGACAAGTAAGAAATAAATGTCTGTCGAAAATAATGATTTTTTTTTGTATTTGTAAGTATACTCATCTTTATTTTACCAACGCGTACTGAGATTATTACCTTGACCACACGGTATCAGTAGGAAAAATAAAATTCGTCAGTTAAACGGAATTGAAATGACTCGTCACAAAAAAATGTATATTTTTTTTTTTTAAAGTTGACAGAGAATTTTAATTTAAAATAAAAAAAATGTACAGTTGTTGGTATTTTTAATTTTTCTTGTTTTATCATAAAATCATCTTCCAAAATTTTTTGCCTTAAACTTGCAGAAAGCTCAGTAGATATCTCTTATTGTACTCTATGTGATGAAATTATTTTGAAGCAGATTAAAAATTATTACAACAATTTTTTAAATTATTTCTTAAAATCAGGTTTTATTGTTAAAATTTTCATTTTAGGCTACAATAAAAACATTTCGGTGTGATCTTGGCATTTAAAATCTACTATCGAAAGGATATCACGGCTAACTTGAGACTTGGAACTTTTCAGACATTAAGAAAAGTCGAAGAATCATGAAAAGAGTTCACTAAGTTTACGTATGATTTTTAAAACGATATTAAAAGGCATTTCCAAATGAAAGTTTCTTCCATGATAGCCAAATTCTATGATGAATATTTTCAAAAGGAAGATGGTCTGACACTTATTAAAAAAAAATTGAATAGACCAAGCAAAAAACAATTTTAAGAAGAAAAGTCTTTTTGAATATCGACAATGTGGAGAATGGGATATATATTAAATCTACCTTATACAACATCGAATTCAATGGCGTTGAAAACATCTTATTGATCTCACTCGTGTTACCTCATTTTTTTTGAAAATTTGACGGGCATTGTTCATGAATCCAGAAGTCAATTATTATTTACAAGAGAATATGAAGGAAGTTGTTTTGCATCAAAAAAATTTTTTAACTTACTATGTTTATTTAACTACTAAGCGCTAATATCACTGACAATTGTGAATTTTATAAGTATTAATACACAAAATTAATGAATATTGTGTAACGAATGTAAAATTACCAATAAGTATTTGTTTTTCTATTGCACTTACCCGTAGTAACGGTGATAACCTCTTTGCTTTTTACACTTCCTGTATATCCATGTATGTAAATTACTGTCGGTTTTTTCAAATCCATTCGCGTAACAAGGTTTCTAGCTTCGAGAAGAGGTGCATCGACGCACTGCTCTGAATCATTCCTGTGATTTTGAAATATTATTACATAACTCGTATTTTTTAGGTATCATACTATTACATTGAGTACAACTAAATACCTGTATTTAAAAGACAAATTTTTTCAATGGGCCATTGTAAGAAATAAAATAAAAACAAATCATTTACCTTGTATACAACCTTAAAAAAATGTCCATATTATAAACTTCCATAAACGGCATTACTGCAGCTGCGAAAAGTAAAGTACAAGTACATGTATACGATAAATTAAAAAAAAATTGTATGCTTCTGTCATTTTTTTATACAATTTGTGTTTATAAGGTTAATATAACTTCATTAATTAAATTCTGTTAATGGCACTACATTTTAAAAATATTCAAATTCATGAGATTCATATGTATACAAGATTAAGCTTTTTCATTATCTGATGGGGTGCTTGTAGGTTGCACGCCAACGCGATATTAGCATGACATAAAATATCATGCCTGCAAAGTTACCAACAACTGGAATAAAAAGTGAAGCAGCCTCATAAAAACGACAGTGGATTGAACGTGCATACAGCACTATTTTCGATACACCAGCGATTTTCATCGTAAAAAAAAAAAAATTCTTGGCTAAAAATCGTAGCTAACTCACTAATGAAAAAACTTATTAGTTCTCGTGAAAACAAATTTTTATAAAACTTTTAAACTTGGTTGACCCTCTGAGCGCAAATTTTATGTATTACTAACTTTACAAGATATTAAAATTTTTTGCTTTCAAATTTCTTTGAAAACTTATTTAATAATATTAGTTTCCATGCAAAAAAAAAGTTCTTGATGTTTATACGCTTTTAATAAGCGTAAGAATGATGGACGTCAGAAACGCCAGCTTTGCCGAGTATTGACGGGGGTTGGAGCTAGACTTGATGCCTTGGCAGGCAAATAAAGCAAATAGTAATTGAAACTTACGCTTGAAAAAAAAGTTTGATTCGTTATTTTTTAACATTGAAAAATTAAGGAGTAACTTTTAAGAGCTGACCTTTTTTAAAATATTTGCCTGTTTGTTGATTTGAAACGAGATATTTCGTATTTTGTACTATAAAATCAATACTTTTACGTACACGCTTGGCTGATGATTTTTAATCACTTTAATGTTTTACTTGATGTTTGTATATTTTTACAGCGAATAACTAAACTACCAACTAAATTTTTTCAGCCATAATTGTTTTTTTTTTTTTTAACTGTGAATCACTTCTGATTCAGTAATCAAATAATTTTCAAAAATTGACAATAATATAATCTATTCCTCAAAGAATAAATTAAGTGCACACAAAATAACATTTTGTGTTTTTTTCCAATCCTTATTTATTCAAGTTAATCCTTTTAAATATAAAAAAACTAAAGACTCATAACTAACGGCAACAGCATTTGGTTCTCTTGATTTTAATTCTTTGTCTAAACGAATAACTGTATTATATCTTAAATAAGATAATATTGGTAAAATTTTCTAAATCCTTTTTTCTCAAATCCTCAATAAATTATCATTTAAAAGTGCAAAAATTGAGATCGATTATCCTACAAAACCTAATACTTGCAAAAGTAAAAGGAAAAAGTTATTTATCCATATATGTGTATCCATCCTAACAAATTATCTGAATATTAGAAAAAAAAAAAAAAAAAGGAAGAAAAAATTTCCACTTTCCTTGTTGAACCTTTCAATTCGGATCAGAAGTACGTGCTCTCGTTCTTGATTAAAGAGATAAATCAAAAATACTCACCCTCCCCAGGGTTTTCAGCCAATATGGCAATAACTGGTAGCAAAAGTGACAATATCATGGTTGCCCGTCACTCGGTACTTCGGACATGCGAATGAAATATTTCAGGCATGCCCAAAATAAATACATCCATCAGTCGCGGCTTAATCGCGTTTACTTTCCGCAGCCCATTTCTACACCATATGACCGCGACGATGCGCGCGAACGTGTGCATGTACGTGTACTCTTTGCTAGAAATTTATGACTTTTTGTGTTACGAAGCGGCAATCGACGTTCCCCACCTCGGTACTCAGTAAAGCGGAACTATCACTACCCCACGCGACAAGATGATAAAGGAAAGGGCACGATAGTGTTGACGTACAAAGGGGAAGTCGGAGAATAGTGAAAAATGATTTGGGGATCGCCAAACTTGACTGTGTAGAATGAAGAAAACAAACCTTTTTTTTTTTTTTTTTTTTTTTTTCGTGGATTGAGTAAAATTCACAGCAGCATGGTCTATACAATACGATTCAGTAGCCCAATCGTATTCATATAGATAAGAAAAAAAATAACGTAAGGTTGTTCATTTGGTGTTTGTAAAAGTAGGCATTTCGAAATAATTTAACAGTAGGTCTATTCCTCGTAAATGTGCGAGTGAAATTCATTTGAATGAATAATGCAAAAAAACTAGCTTTATCTAAAAATTTACTACGTTGCCTCGAAGTTATATCAGGAGCTCTTTTTTTTAGAATATAACTATTACGGTGGGAGATACACCGAAAACCTGAGTTGATAGAAAATACCGGTTTTAAACGGTACGTTGCAAATTTTAATTTGAAGATAAAAAAAATTTCCTCGTGCGCTTAAAAGTTTGAAAAATGATGACACAAAAATCAGTCGCAACACTGACAAACTAATTTTATGCTTTAATTTTCTTTTATCTGTACAGTCCAACTTTCCTACATGATTTTTCTTCTTGCCTTAAACTCATGAATTAAAACTTTAAAATAATCACTTGGTTGTCAAACAATCAAAGCCTCAGATGTTTTCGCTAACTTATTTTTCACTTTCAGATGATACAGATGATGTTAGCTGTTGTACTCGTCTTCTCGTTATGCTGGTTACCCTTTAATATACTCAATGTAAGCATTTAGACATTCAACTAACGCTTTATTTTTTACAAAATACCCATGGAAATTCTTATAAGAATCTATAAATTCCAATTTTGACTATAAAATTTACTTTGTTGTAAAAAACAAAATTTCTGACCCTAAGTTTTTGTGAAAGTATAATCTATTAATGCAATGATATTTTATAAACAATAATTTATAATAATACCATGACTTTAACTTGAGTTGAAAAAAAGTAATTATGCTGAAGATATTTTTAGTTAATAATGTCCATATTTTTTGTTGCATCATTTACCTTAAGCAAGTACATACACATTTTTGTTTAGTTTATTCATAAGAAAGCCAGATGTGCAGTTGCTAATAGCAATGTTTTACAGTATCTGATGGACAAAAATATTGGAGGGATAATGCATTGGGATGGTCTGTCGTACACTTGGGTCGTTCTTCATTGGCTGTCAATGTCTCATTCGTGCTACAATCCGATTATCTACTGCTGGATGAACGCGCGTTTTCGGGCAGGCTTTCAAGCTGTACTGCTACGGTTGCCACTGATAAAGCGACTCTACCGGATCAACGAGTGTAACATCAGCACCATGGGTATGGCACAAACAGGTATACACAACAATTGCTGTTTGTTCGTTTTCTCAAGAAAATCGTTTCGACATTTACCCGTTTCAAAGTCAAACCGCAAAACCATCAATGTCATCCATACTTTATTTTTGTTTAAAAAATGCATGCGTAGAACACTGTTGGGCATTTATAGTTATAAACTTACATTACCTCAGTGGTGTTGTACTCAATTTTTCTCTTCCCACTGCATGACATTGAAACTTTCGTTTAAGTGTAATATAAAAGGAGTATCTCAAGTGGCAAGAAAGCTTATCCGTCAGATGGTGTGGTTGCGCCTGAGTAAAAATGGCAAATGGGAGGAGGGGCAAAACCGGGTAATCCGTTCAAGCAAAGCAAAGCGAGTAAGCACTACGATAATGGGTATAATATACCTTGTTTGATTATTAAAATGATATAACTGTAGTCTAAAATCAGTCATCGACAGCTTATAAGACTTGCTTATTAAAATATAGATTTACTCAGATATAAATGACTATTAAATCGGTAGCTCTAATAGCCTCAAATAATTAGAAAATTATCAACGATATGATATAAAGTCTATTCGTTTTTGACCGATCACAAACTGTGGTTGGCTGTGGAAGCTGCAACCGGCTTTTAAAATAAGGTGAAGGGGCTGTAGGGGATATATTAAGGTGTTGTAAGGGCTTTACTGGAAGCTTGTTGGGCTCAAATAACAGATACATTAAATGAATTTTATCTTGCTATGTGAGCTTACCATTGGCCATACCTAAATAACTGTATAATATAGAAAGATTAAATGGGTAATTCTTTTACAAACCGAACGCAATTCTGACTGACCCATTTTTGATTTGACTGAAACTTTTTTTTACGAATTCTACATCGGAAAAAAGATACCTGTTCGAGGAATTTTTTTTTTCTTTTTTATAAATAATAAGGGTTGAAAATTTGAGATTTTGGTGATTTTTGCTTGAAGACTTATTTTCAAAAATCTATGACTCTAGTTCATTTCAAGCTAGAGAAAACTTTTTTTTCATTTTGGAGGTAAGTCTGAATTTTAAGAAAAAAATAAATCGAAAAAAATTTATGAAAAACTTCAAATTGTTATAAAAAATGTAAATGTAATTGTAATGAAACCCATCACTTAGCGTGTTTTAAGTACAACCATCCTATTCTACGTCTAATTTTCTATTGACATTGCTTTTTTTACGAATAGAGAAACGATCATTACTATTACAAAAAATCAAATAAACTAGCGCGGTACCTGACGTCGGCGCCCCAAGTAGCGAAATGAAATACATCTAACGTTTTCGCCTCATACCATTGTTCTCTGAATTATCTCACAAATAGTATTTATAGTATGTTTTACATTTTTAATTGAACAGTATTGTTTACTAACAAATGAAGTTTCATAAAAAATTGAGGAAAAATAAATAAACAATCACATTATTTTAGAGAAACAAGTAATATATTTAGATTTAAATTCACTAGTAATCTACATGTACATGTTTTTATCTTAATATACTATCGTCGTTATTTATTATTATTGTAGTATTCATTTTTTACTTAAGAATTTTTACAATATTTTTTTTTCATACAAAAAGAATTGCTTTGCTTCCAACTCTTGAAGTGAGATTGGAATCATACAATGGTATTTTAAAATTTCTTTTATTATTAGAGCTTTTTCAAAACGTGCTGATAGTCGTTTTTCTTCTTCTTTGTACTCGTCATTGGTTGAATAGCAACACGTTATACTTGGTAGAGCTTCTGCAGCCCAGTCAAATAACTTTTTTGGTGTACGAATACGATTATTCACCCTTTGAAGACTTGCTCTAACAGCAAGTCGTTTTAGAGTTCTACTTACTCCGTCACATGGTCCTTTGCCATGTGATGTTGGGTAGGAGTGCCACTCGGCTGCCATTTTAAAATCTTCTGCATCGTGCGAAAGATTTATAAAATTTTTTTTATTTTATACTGTCTCTTTTCCCCGTCCAAAAAGTATATTATTTTATTGATACATTTTAAATGAGTTTTTATAAATTTTATAAGTTGTCTTTGAAATAGATGGACAGCAACAGTATCATGACGTAAGGACTCAGATATAGAAACAAAACTTTTAATTTTTAATTCGTCTTTGGCATCTTCGTAGTAAATAAAAAATGGATGTATTGTTGCTTGATCGTTATTCCAATGCATACCTTGAACAGAATTTTGTACAACAAACTCGTAGTTTTCAGAAAAATTGCAAATTACAATGCATTTTTTTTTCATCAGTTTCATTTTTTTGTCATTCATAAACTCTCTTTGCTTATTTACTAAAAAAGAATGTAGAAACACTTTACTTAAACCACTACTTAAAGATTCTAAATATTTATCTACGCTAGATATTAACGTTTGTAATGAAGTTCTTTCACTTGTTACTATTTGTAGTTGACAGTTTCAGTTAATTAATCTTCAAAATTTTTTTCCAATTGCTCGATAATATAAGTACACCAGGACACTCATTAGATAATCCCAAAAAACAGTTTGTAGATTTAACTTTACATAACACACGACATATACATAATAATTTGATATCGGTTGTTGCGAATCAGCTGTAATGGATTTCAAGTTGGCTCCATCTATTAATTTTCATGTAATGGACAGACACAAGCAGAATGAGTACCATTAGCGCCTGCTAATATACAATATTTTGGTCGTAAACTGTCAAACTTTGAAAAACTACATTTTACTGCTGGGTACATCTCTTTAAATAATTAAAATAACTCTTATAAGTTCTTCAAAAGTAAGCGTTTTTCACCTTTACTCTCTGCCCATTGACTTTGACTAAAACATAGTCCTTTTTGCCTGGCATCGATTGAGTATTGTCATCATACTGATTAAAAATAATAATAGCATTTTCATCATCTACAGTTAAAGGTGGATGACTTTTGAAACTCGGATTGCTTAAGGAGGCTCCCTCGTGACAGATCCTGAACCACAACCAGATGAATTTAATAATTGAAAATCTATACTGAATCCAATGATATAATTATTTATATCGCTTACCCTGCGAAATTTTGAGATATTATTAATTTAATTTAGCGCTTTCTAACACGTATTCTTATGGTGGAGCTCGCACACGCGATGAAAACAACTTAAAAACTCGAATAAATTAACAGTTCCGGTAATAAGAGCGCACACGTTTTGTAGAAAAAAACCTCCTCTTTCGAATGACACCTAGCAAAGTAAGTGGAACCCTGAAAAATTTCGATGTATTCTATTAAAAATTGATCAAGTCATTATATTTCCACAGGTTAACCTATGTTCTCTTGCGTTTTTTTTTTTTTTTTTTTTTTTGATGGAGTGGGGAGGGAAAAATTTTCATAGACACCCCAGCTAATCCGGTGGTAGTATCGGATTCACCCGGTGTGCCTACCGACTAAAAACTAACCTCCCCGCATGGGACAGATCCGTGAGGACCACTCCCCTAGAAGACAAAAGGGCATAGGAGAAGAAAGAAGAAGGAAAATAACGGAGAATTTCGGAGGCCGACTCGCTCTCGAAGAGATGAGAAGAGGGGGCACTTACGTATCTGGGCGAAGCTCGAATCTTAGCTTGCGCCGGAATAGAGTTAGAGTAAGTGTTGTATAGGGTTACGGCCATAAAGGATACGGCGGATACAATGGTGCTCCTGAAAGGAGCGTACGAATTGAAGTCGCGTTCGTTTCGGCGGAATCATGGAGATGGAGATGATGCAACCGATGGAAGCAGGGGAGATTGAAGACCTAGAGTATATTGAGGGTTCTCGGGGTTCTGTGCAAGAGCACAGGGACATCTTATAAGGTCCAAGCGACCGGGTTGGAGGTTCGCGAGTGCGGCGATGGTGGGGTTTGTGTGGTCCGTAATGGAGGCACGGATTTTAGACGCAAGGACGGGGGCTGCTTGTATTGGAGGGACGATGTTGAACTCCTTGATAATCTGGGTATTCCTGATGTACCACGGAATACCCAGGACCGACCTCAGAATCTTCATGAAAGGGCCCTGGATACCCTGTAGTCGGTTTCCCTTTGCAGCGCCCCACGTTGGTATCACGTAGGTGCTAATGCTCTTGATGATGGCGTTAAAGGTGCGCAGCTTGGTCTTCTGGGAGACGGCTTTGTTGTTAAAGAAGGGCTTTAGTTGCACGAAGGCTCCGTATGCTTTGCCGCAGGTGCTGTTGATGTGCCGAAAGTACGTGAGTCGACGATCTAGCGTTACGCCAAGGTACTTAGCAGAGTAGCTCCAGTCGATTTCTACTCCGTTGACCTTTATCTTCTGCAGTTTCTTCCTTGGATTTTTCCATGAGATATAGCATGGCTATAGTCTTTGCCTCATTTACGACCAGTTTCCAAAGACTATACAAGTTATGGAGAGTGACAATGTGCTCGTTTAGAAAGGTGGTGCACCGTGAGTGTTGTTTTGACGTGCAGCTGACCGCGACGTCGTCTGCATAGACGTACGTGTTGATGTTTTTGCGCTGGGGTAGGTCGTGGCAAAAAATGCTGAAAAGGGTGGGTGAAATTTTGGAGCCTTGGGGGACTCCGGAGGTTATTGGACGGGGGTTAGAGAGGAAGTCGCCTACTTTAATGCGGATAAATCTGTCCGAGAGGTAAGATTTGACGGTGCCGATGAGGTAACGCGGAAAACATAACTGAATAAGCTCATACAGGAGGCCTTCGTGCCAAACTCTGTCGACGGCCTGCTGTACATCTAGGAAAGCTATCACGGTGAAGTTTTTGTGGATGAGGCTCTCGGAGAGGTCTTCGGTAACTCTCAGAAGTTGGTGTACGGCCGAATGTCTGGCTCTAAAACCGTACTGCACGTCTGGAAGGATGTTATTTTCCGTGGCGTGCTTGTTTAGGCGGGTAAGAAAGATGCTTTCAGTGATTTTACTGAGCGATGAGAGTAGGCTCATGGGTCTGTGGCTCGAGGGGTTGCTGAGGGGTTTTCTCGGCTTCGGGAGGCAGATGACCGTAGCCACCTTCCATGCAATTGGAAAAAAC